TTTTTTTTTTTTTTAGTTAATCGGAAATATATATTTTTCAATTTTTTAAAATTATTTTTCCTTCATACATTATTATCTAATATATAAGATAATTATTTTGTTTGTCTTTAGTGTGCTAAAAAGAGCTTTTTGATGGCATGTTCGTTGTATAAGCACATATTAATATTTACATTGCTTCTGGCTCTATTCAAATTAAATGGAAATCGCGAATTGCGCGTATTTTACAAACTTATTAAACGCATTTCTTGTTGTTGTTGTTGCTCAACACTGGCAACGCCTTTTGTTGTGAGCAAGAGTTGTATGGCATGTGCGTATGCGTTTGTGTGTGCCTATGCACAACAGAGAGCCCGGCACATTGGCCACGTTCAAGCTGAAAATATCACAAGCCCTCTCATCTCTCGCTCTCTCTCACTCTCTTTATTGTTGTTATTTTACATATAATGTATAGCGTGCGCTTGTGTTGCTGCTGCTTGTTGGCGTTCGCCTTATGTTCGCTTTGCACATTTGCTTTGGCGCATTCGCGCAGCGATCGTCTCAAGCTACATATCGTTAATATTTGAGGGCTCGCTGAAAACCAAAAGGCACCGAAAACTAAACCTTCTTGCCAAACTACTAAGCTTGCGCACCAAAATAAAATAAATAAAGGGGAAAAGACCATTAAACAAAAACTTTGTTCACGTTGCGCTTGCGTGCAAGTGCAGTCGTGTGTGTGTTTGTGTGTGTGCCTGTGTGAGTGTGCGTGTGTTTTGCCAACCGCAGCAAAAATCACAATATTTTCTGCGCTTGACCTTTATTCAAATTGTTGGTCAACAGTTTGATTAATTGCCGCACGGAAATCATTAGAAAAGTTGGCTTCAAAAATTGTCATCAAAGAAGACTGTCAGTGAGAAATAAGTAAACAAATAACAGTTAGCACACACACACTACGAAAAATAAACATGGGTAAGTTCATTAACGATTTACGATTTACGCATACGATATGCACGAAAGCTCAATGAATGCAACAGTTAGCGATTGGACGAGGAGAGCTGGGGGACGGTGACTGTGTTTGGTGTTGGTGTTGGGAAACGCAACAGGTGGCGCGCAATGTGCCGAGTATCTTGAGTGAGGGAGAGAGAGAGAGAGAGAGTGAGGACAGCGCAGAGATACGGCGACGAAGAGCGCGCGCAAAAGAATGCCCTTCAAATTGTGTTCTTTAGGTAAAAGGGTCACCTACAAAGCTTTGCCGTCGGCTTATCGCAATTCCAATCACTTTACCTCATTCTCCAATCTGTTGTTGCTATTCACTTGCATTCACTTAAAGATTAATGCGCTAAATGTTAACCTTTTCAAGTTAATGTTGAGCGACAGAGAGCGACCGAGAGAGGGGGCGAGCGAATTAGAGAGCGTGCATTGGCATTGAGAATTAGCCAATGTTAATGACATTGAAAATGTACACGTAAATAATTACACATGTATGAATGGTTTACATACATACCTCACGATATGTGTGCGTGTGCACATGTCGGTGTGCGTGTGCTGTTGTGTGTATGTGTGTGCGTGCATAAGCCTTTCAAAATGTATTTCAATGCCTTGTCAAAAGCAATGTTAAACACGATGCTGAATCATCTTGTAGGCGTAAAAAAAAGCACACAAATATGAGAGGGCAGTTAAAGAAATATAATGATTAAAAAACAAGTAGTCTTTTTGTTTTTGTTTATTGCGTGATTTGCTGCGTTCGCATTTCTGTTTGTCGTATCAGCATTGTAATTACAGTGAATGCACGTTATGCGAAAATAGAATTCAAGCTGCGAAAATTACTATAAATAAATATATATGATAAATGTATGTTGTTTATTCCAAGTATAACTGTATTAGTGTTTAATTTCAAAGATTGGGCTAGGATACAATGAGCTAAATCTAATCTAACTCTAGTTTTGAATAAGATGTAGTATATGCAAACTTTAGAAAGCACGTTTTTTAGTGTGTCAAATATAATTTTATATTATGATATGGTAAGTCATATCTTTATTATATACGATAATAAAGTAAGTTATATCTAGATAATCTATTACATATGTATACATATATATAATTAAATATGACCTACTCAAGAAACGTGCTTGCAAAAGCTCTAAAAGCACACAGAAAGTAGTTACAGAGATATATAATTTGTATTCTATATACATATGTACATATATATGTATGTATATCTACCTTCTATGTTATTTGACTCCATAAGAAAATAGATAGTCAAGTCAAAATGCCAAACGAGTGCATGTCCAATCGATTTCCGTCTCTGACTTTCAGCTGTTATTGCCCTATAGATCACAAACAGACGCACACAGACACAAACATACATATAGGTATGCAAACAGATGCATATATGTATGCATGTGTACATAGCCCCTCCAGTAATATGCACTTATCTGGCATACAGGTATGAATGAGCTGGGGACTAAGATATAGTCAGCGCTTGAAAGTCAAGCTAAGAGCATTGACAGATTTGATTTATTACGTCTCTGGTCAGCGGGTCGAACGTTACGTGCGAGTGGGCTTTCGGCTCAAGATAGAGTTACAGTTAAAGTTAAAGGAGTCCTAGTGTTTCCTTTCCAGAAATATATTTCATAAAACTATCGTTTCTTTCGTTTTGCCTAGAGTGCAAATGCTCAAAGCCCTCGGGCACCTTGGATCGCATCATCAACACTCTGAAGTGCTCAACTATGATATGCGAGGGCACACACTTTGACGGTCAAATTCCACACACTTTCGTGGTGTTTGGTGCATCGGTAAGAGATTCGTCGTTCAAAGGAGGATGATTGATCCCGATGCAGGATAACTCTATAAACACTTGCATTTACAGGGCGATCTGGCTAAGAAGAAGATATATCCAACACTATGGTGGCTATATCGCGACGATCTACTGCCGAAGCCAACAAAAATTTGCGGCTATGCGCGCTCCAAGATGACAGTGGACCAGTTGAAGAATCTATGTGAGCAGTATATGAAGGTAAAGTTGGATTCCTTTGAGTTCTCTTAAAGATGTGATACCCTGAAATATAGAGTTTATATGTAAGAGTATTGCAATTGGGCGTACTCGACTGCAGGGCTCAAAGACAACTGCATTTATACGGAATATCTCCGGATTACTGATGAACATAAAGACGGAAAATTAAACAGATATATAGACGGACAGATGCACCGACAGACGGACGGTTACAAAGCCATATACTCCCTCCCCTTCACACCGTGAACGCGTATATAAATTGTCAATAGAGTCGCTCGCTCGCTTCTATGCGATTCTCAAGCGAAGCTTTCAATTTTTCGAGAAGAATATTTGCTCAAATTGTTTGCTCTGCTCCTCTATGCGGTTCTCAATTTAATGGCATTCCACTTCTCTGCCCTTGACAGGTGCAACCGCATGAACAGACGAAATATAATGAATTCTGGCGCTTGAATAACTATGTTTCCGGACCATACGATGACGCCCAGGGCTACCAGGCGCTCAACCAGCACATGGAGTCGATCGAGAATCGGCTTAATGCGAATCGCATCTTCTATTTGGCACTGCCGCCCACAGTCTACAACCAGGTGACGTTCAACATCAAGCACAACTGCATGTCCAAGGGGTGAGTGAATGCTACATGGATAATCCTTAAGTGGATCGTGTCTAAATCTGCATTGATCTTTCGTTAGCGGCTGGAATCGCGTGATCGTCGAGAAGCCCTTCGGGCGAGACGATGTGACCTCGAAGGCGCTGAGCGATCATCTGGCCGGCCTGTTCGAGGAGGAGCAACTGTATCGCATCGATCACTACTTGGGCAAGGAGATGGTGCAAAACCTGATGACCATACGGTTCGGCAACAAGATTCTGAGCTCAACATGGAATCGCGAGAATATTGCCTGCGTCCTGATCACGTTCAAGGAGCCGTTCGGTACGCAGGGGCGTGGCGGCTACTTTGACGAGTTCGGCATCATACGAGATGTGATGCAGAATCATCTGCTCCAGATTCTATCGCTGGTGGCCATGGAGAAGCCATGCAGCTGCCATCCGGACGACATACGTGATGAGAAGGTCAAGGTGCTGAAGTGCATCAAGCCATTGGAGCTGAGCGACATGGTCCTGGGCCAGTATGTGGGCAATCCCGCAGGCAGCACGGCTGAGGAGCAGTGCGGCTACCTGGATGATCCCACCGTGAGCAAGGCATCGAACACGCCCACCTATGCCATGGCCGTCATTCAGATCAACAACGAGCGCTGGCAGGGCGTGCCGTTCATACTGCGCTGCGGCAAGGCATTGAACGAGCGCAAGGCCGAGGTCCGCATCCAATATCAGGATGTGCCCGGCGACATCTTCGAGGGCAACTCGAAGCGCAACGAGCTGGTGATACGGGTGCAGCCGGGCGAGGCGCTCTACTTCAAGATGATGACCAAGAGTCCGGGCATTACGTTCGACATTGAGGAGACCGAACTGGATCTCACCTATGAGCATCGCTATAAACATTCCGTGCTGCCGGACGCCTACGAGCGCCTCATTCTGGACGTCTTCTGCGGCTCCCAGATGCATTTCGTGCGCTCCGACGAGCTGCGCGAGGCGTGGCGCATCTTCACGCCCATTCTGCACAAGATCGAGCATGAGCGCATCCCACCCATTCCCTATCCGTACGGCTCCCGCGGCCCCACTGAGGCCGATCGCAAGTGCGTCGAGAATAACTTCATCTACTCGGCGTCCTACAAATGGCATGGCAATAAGGCGGATGCATCTCATCTTTGATTTGGGACTCCATGGGATCCACTGGCTTTTTGGTGTTTATGTTGATCATAGCGACATTTATATATATACTCTGCATATATATCTATGTATATATATGCATATAATAGGCGTTTTTTTTTTTAACTTTACCATCGGTTAACTCTATAATGGTTTTTTTTACTTACTATTATACATTTTTGTTGTATTAAATTGATTATATTTGATGTATGTATATACCTTAATATATATATATCGGATATATATATTTTTTTAATGCATTTATTTGCTTTTGAGGGAACAATGGGCTATACTAAGGCACACACGGAAGCTAAAATTTGATTTAAATTCATGCAAAGCTCATGCAAGAACCACTTTCTGCGTAATTCCAAATTTTTCGGTTAAAGTGGCTTCTGAGATATAATTCAAATTATAATTGTAAAGCTTAAATTTAGGGAAATCTGATCAAATTTGATCAAATAATACTCATTAAGAGAATAGTAAATCACTCTTCTCGGAGTCAATATAATATAATTGAGTTTACTTATGTATTTACATACATATATACATAGGTATTGTTATAGATATACACATATATAGATACATACATAGATAAAAATAATAATTTGAGTCCACTTATTTACGCTATATAGTATAATTATTTGCAGTAAATTTCTTAAAAATATCAACAAAAATCTTTCAAATCCCGATGTATATTTTATATTTGATATATATACATAAATCTTCTAATGCCTTTGACGATCGAAAATCTTTCAAAATTTGATTATCGTTAAGTTTTCGAAGTCGATTTTTAGGCATCAATTTTAATATTCAGCAATATAAAGATTTATATTTATATACTATCACTGACCAGAGATCCACTAACCAGAGAGACGGACGGACGAACGTGTGTGTGTGCGTGTGTCTTGGGTAAGCAGAAAGACGCGAAAAATGATTGAAATAGCTATTGCTCCAAGGGTTCAGGGGATCTCGTAGCGAGCAGTCTCGACTAGAGCTTTCTTACTTGTTATACCCTGAGCCCATTTTTAATGGGAAAGCAGGGTATAATGGTTGGGTTGAAATGTATGTAACAGGCAGAAGTAGGCGTGGCATACCCCATAAAGTATTTATATTATCGGTCAGGGCGACGAGCTGATTCGATTTGGCCCTGTCCGTCTGTCCGTCCGTCTGTCCGTATGTATGAACGCGTCAATTTCCGAAGATATAAGAAAACATTTTTTTTTTGTTAAATGTCCGTATTTACAGCGCGGATATCAAGTTTATCATTAAAAATTGATAACTCATCCCGATCTTTTTTTATCGATAAAAAACCTTATCGAAAACCAGTTATAAAATTATATCTTATTGCTAGAGTCTCCAAATTTTTAATGTATGCTTATATGCAATTTCGGTTTTTGTTAAAATTTACCCCCCACCTCTANGAATGTGGTTGGCGTCTTCCACATGCCCTCGCTCGCACCAGGGGCACTCGTCAGATTCCTCGTGGCCAAAGCGCTTCAAATAGCTCCGAAAGCATCCATGACCCGAGAGGATCTGCGTAAGGTAGAAGTTAACCTCGCCATGTTTGCGGTTAACCCATGGTTCAAGCTCCGGGATGAGCTTGTGCGTCCACCGCCCTTTAGCTGAGCTATTCCACCTTCTTTGCCATCGTGCGATGCTGTTCGCCCTGACAGCGTTGAGTCGCGTAGGCCCGTGCGAATTCCGCTCCACGGCTTCGGCGACCAAATACTCCAGTGGCACCATACCGGCTATGACGAGCGCCGCGTCATCGGAGATAGTCCTGAAAGCGCAGCTGACTCTGATTGCGCTCAGCCTGTAGATCGCGCAAATGCCTCGGCTGTAGCTCGGCGTTGCCATCGCTCTTGCCCATATTGGCGCAGCATAGAGGATGACAGACCTAATGACGCTCATTAGAAGAAGACGTCGTTGCTGTTTAGGTCCCCGCGTGTTAAGCATAATTCTTGAGAGAGCTCTACAAGAATCAGCTGCCTTTTTATGCACATATTCTAAGTGCTCGCGGAAAGTTAATCTTGTGTCTAACATGACGCCAAGATACTTAATCGCCCTCTTTGACGCGATGGTGACGCTGCCTATCCTTATATGGGCAGTCTCCACTTTTTTGCGACTGCTTATGTAGGACGACTTCCGTCTTGTGCGCCGCCAGCTCGAGCTCCTATCAATCAGCTTCGTATGCGATTGATACTTTCACTGCACATATCCTCAGTATCTTAAAGCTCCTTGAAGATCCGAGCAAATACGAAATTGATAGGCCCTAGGAGACAGATTTTTCGGTGTCGAAAAACTTTGTCTAGTCTATGTGTTCTCTGGTGAGTGGTCATATAGTATACACATACATACATATATACACAGCCTCGAGCACAAATATCGATAGCCCAAATGGATTTGCTTATCAATATTTGTGGACGAGTCAGCATTTGTCTTTATCTCTCTGTTTAAATGACTTAAAAAAATGCGTAATTATGTGATGGAATATGAAGCGCCTCCGACATACATACATACATATATTGAAAGGAACAGAGAGGGAGAGCGAGAGATATGATCCAGATGCATCATGGCAGGCTCACATAGCCTGTGACTTTGACTGGCTGAGTGGGCTGCATGCAAATGTAGCCCGAGGGATTGGCCAGATCCGCAGCTCGTTTTGATATGCGGACGTAATCCTGGGGCTGAGCGGGCACCAGTGTGTCTAGGGGTCGAAAGTTTGCATAGAGCACCGGCGGATAATGAATGCGGGCGTTCAAATTCGTCTGCTGATCGTGCTCCTCCTGCCGCTCCTCCCGCTGCTGCTGCTCCTGCTGCATATGTGTGGTCAGAAGTGGAAGCTCCTGCCCCACTGTCGTTAGCGCCGGCGTCACACTCTGCAGACCCTCGGGCAGATCCACTTTAATGTTGGACATATAGCGCACCTTCCGCACTAAGAAATATATGAAGCCTCCGAGTATGATGAGCGCAATGATGCCCTGGATATTGTGCACATGGTCCGACTGGACGACCGCCGTCATCAGTGGCCTATGGTACCATTCCAGCCAGCTCATGCCGCCGCTGCCAAACGCATCGCGGCCATCGTAATTGGCCGAGACGGCCCATTTGTAGGCATCGATGAGCAGTCCAGCCGGCGGCTCATATTGGCACTGGCTGCAGCGTTCCACCTCAGCGGACTCAATGGCCAGGCCCTCGTTACAGCGGGTGTGGTCCGTTATGTTCCAGCTGCACCAGTAGACCGTGTAGCTGCTCAGCAGCATCTGCTCCTCCGGGGGATCCCAGGTGAGATGCCTCATCCTCCGGCCGGTGTCCAAGTTCTTGGGCACGCGTCGCGCCCGTCTCGGCGCGAGCAGCCAGGGTATTCGAATCCGACTGCTGTTAAGCGAGCTGCCCAACGAGTTCTGACTGCGCACGACTATCGTAAAGCTATCGCTGTTCAGTTCCAGATCGCTGATAACGGCTTCATTCGAATCGACGGCCACTTTGGCAGGACTGTCAGCAAAAAGTAGAAGAAGAGAAAGAAACTAAGCTATGCAGATCGATAAGTTGAATGATCGATAAGTCAATCTATGTATGAATTGAGAGATATATGTATGTATGTGAATGCATGTAGATTAATTGGTAAGTGGGTTAATCAAAGGTTTAGCGCTAGGAATGCAAAGCAATCGATGGTACTATCGATGGGTTTACGACATCGATAGTATTTTGCCACTATCGATAGTCTAACAAATTCAAAGCTCGACCAGCTTTGAACTAGTGATGTAAATTTGAATGAAAACATCGATGTCGATGTCCATCAATGTTTTCAAAATCAAGCATTGTTTGCTTTTCTTCACACATATAATAGCTATAAATGTAAATGAAGTCAGAAACATTTTTGTAAATTCAGACTTAAAATTTTAATTACTTTAAATTGTCGATGGTACTATCGATATTATCGATTCACTATCGACTGTTAAAGAAATCGAGGGTACCACTATCGATAATTTTGCAACGTATGTATATTAAATTAATAATAAT